ATTTATGGATGAAGATCCACTCCAGGCAGTAGACAAGAGAACAGCAGATAAGCTGTAAACTGAGTCAGTCGTGACTGCCCCCTGACTTCACAACCCACCGTACTAAGCCAGTTCGTAACTTACTTTCCAGGTTATTTTACTGCAGTCATCGGGCAATTTTGGATGGACTCCACTGAGTACATTTTTTTTAACATTCTTTTTACCAATAAACCAAAAGATTTTATAGCCTTGATGTGTTTCTGGCACACTTTAAAGTGTGCCAGTTACTGCTGCTAAAAATGACCAAGCTGTAGCAATGTAAATATCTCACAACTTTTTTTTTTTTTTTTTTTTTTTTTTTTTTTTTTTTTTTTGTAAAGATGGGCTTTTATGCAGGGAACTGGGAAACAGCAACACAGAAAAAGATTGTGTTAAGAGAAGAAGACTCATGTAAGCACAACTTAGAGTGGAACAGTATCGTGTTCCTATCCGCCCGTGTTAAATGTAGTTTGAAAGAATCATGTTTTCACGTACACCAGGGACTTCCTCCTTCCGACCACTGAAATCAGTCAGAATTCACCAAACAACTTTAGTGATGCATGAGCTAGTCCCTAAAGCAGCAGCCTGCCTCTTGGAGACAAACTCCCTGTGCAATTTCTGTCCAGTCTCCCTGGGCCTGAGCCTCTGATCTGTAAAGAGGGGGATCTGTCTTTGCTTCTGCTGTCAGTTCTCTGAATAGTCACAGTCTCTCCCCTGGCACGCCAAGGCCTTTGGTTTTGGTGTCGTTTTTAGGTGCAATTGTGATTTAACATGGAATGACTAACGCACACCCTTAATCATCACAACAACTCTAGCACCATAGTGCACTGCAGTGACTCTTGCACATTGCCCTGCCCAATTCTGCAGGAGATAAAGCATGCCAAACCTATAGCAAGTACTTACAAATGTGCCTTAAGCACCAAGCTCATCTGCAGTAGGCTGACCTATGTATACAATACCGCTCTTTATGCAGATCGTATTTATCACAAAGTGCATGAGCTGGTTGATTTTCATGCCGGAAAACGGTCCGTCCTGATGAGCAGGAAATCAAGCAAGTGTACCAAGACACCTGCACGGATGAACAAGGAGCTCCTGACAATATTCCCTCTATAGTTTCAGTGCACTTTTTCACTTCTGAGATCAGAGGCAGTATACGAACTACAATGTTCTTAATTATTTTACACTAGCAGGCAACATTGTTAACGTTAATCCTCTTTCATGAAATTAACCACGAGAGGGCACCAGTACTGCAAATAAAAAAAAAAAAAAAAAAAAAAAGACAAAACCAAGTAGCTAAATAAACAAACGGGAATTTGCTTACAAACTGTATAGCTTCAAAGGCACAGGATAGCAGGCTCCACGATCATGAGTTACCCACCCAAAGAAAGCCCAAACATCAGGCAGCTACATCGGTGCACTGCAGTGGAGAAAAAAAAATCACCCCACTACCTAGAGCCAACAGAGCTGGTGCTTTTTCTGCTTCCCCTACGAGACTCCCTTTGCTTACAGACCCCCTTTCCTTTGGCAGAGGGGGGAAAGGCTCACACATATTTTTATATGAGTGTTGTCCAGAGCTTCCCTCAGCAGCATCTCTGTCCTACCTCAGGCCTCCCACACAGGAGCAGTTTTTTCTCTTCACTGCTAGTCTTGGGAGTAGCAACTCCCATCCCTTCTCTCTCAGCAGAGAAAAGGCTTTTCATTCCTGAAAGCCAGGTGAGCAGCAGTGTCTGAAACTCCATGTTTGCAGCCCAGCAAGCCCTAGCAATGGGTTTGCTTGTGTAATAGTCCTTTCAATGCATACTATCTATGAGGGGGGATTGAATGATAACTCACCAAACTAGAAGAATGAACACTGAAGCTGAACAGCTGACCTCCAAGATGGGGAAAGTTGTTTTTCCACAAAGACATCACCATAAGGAATTCCTCTAGAAAACAAGAGAAATGAAAAAGTATGTTATTTTTCAAGACTGCATCCTGAATATCTGATTCGAAATTATGCCGTGTGAAAACAAAACCCTTGGACTCACAAAATCTCGCAGTGAGATCTCCCTGCCAAATACCATCTAGGATACAGATATTTACACCAAGAGAAAAATGCCTACACATACCCTAATCAGGAGCAAGTGCAATTATGTATGAATGTATAGATCACTCGCAAAGCTGATTTTGCTTACAAAGGAAAATAACTCATTGCGAAAAGATTTGTGCGGTTAAGCTAAACCTTTTCCTGCAGCATTGACTGTGAATACAAAAGGATTGTTCTTTTTTGTTTTGGCTGCAAGTGAACAAAATGCTGTTTTCAACTAGATGTTTCTCCTGAGTTTTTGTGACAGTTGGACTAATTCCATGCAATTATTCCATGCAAGTAAATTTATTCTGAACGCCCTGGCAAATTTCTGGCAGTTCAGAGGAATCTCCCAGCTGGGACACATCCATTGCGAAGAACACCAGGTAAGCCAGAAATGGGGGAAAATTCAAATAGCTCAATCCGTAATCAGGGTAGAAGGTAATACAGCTGCTACAGAATAAGAGAGTCCAAAGGGTGTTTTACAGAACCAGCCTTACAGTCTAAACTCAATGAATATTTTTGCACTATTGGAATAGCTTTTTCTGCTACTCTATTTGTAAAGGGACGTGCCAGAAAAACAGAGCAACGAAGAGTTCCAAAAAGCATGTATTCATTTGAAAAGAAAATTAATTAATGGAATATTCCACAATGAACTGTGCATAAAACAGGACTATTTTCTTCAATACAGGGTGTTGTAAAACCGTGTTGGTTTAAAAATGTATTTCTTGTGCTTGAGCAATTCTTGAAGTACTGAAATTATTTCTAATACAGTTACCAGACCAAAGAGTGAAAAAATATGATTCAACTGTTATTCCTAGCTCCAAGGGAGTTACCCAAAATACGAACCAGATAGTTATAAATGTCTAAAACCATAACAAACACCCTAAAATGTTATTAAAGCTATGCTCTAACTTTGGAACAGAAATATCAGCACCCCTGCAAAAGCACAGCATCCTATTCCCATAGGGTTAATGCCTCAGCTACAGAAACCAATGATACCTGGCAGAACATCTGTTCTCCTTGCTACTTTTCATGCGACTGTGAGTCGTTGCTAACAAGAATACGAAGGGTAACGCTAAATTTAAACTAACTTATTGATTAGGCTGAAGAACTAGATTTGACTGTCAATGTCTAAATTAAAATCACATGCATTTCAACCTTTTACATTAAAAATAAAAATACTTATACTTAGACCCAGTGATTTTTAAAGTTGTTATAGTCTGCTCTCTTTTTTTTTTCCCCCTTGCAACCTAAATGTTTGCATTAGAAATGCAGAAGTGAAGATTCTTTTAATCCAAGGCTAAAGGCCTTTGATGTTGAAGTAGACACATTTTCCTAAACCAGCTGCGCAGTTCCTGCCTGAGTTAGGAGATGTGCAATGCTCTTTAATAAGCGCAGAAGAACGAGAGGTCTCTGAGGCCATACATTCATTATATGTTCTAAAAAGTGGTTCCTTCGGCTCCTGGGTTTAGCCAAACTTGATTTTTTCATTTTGGTGAGGAACCAACCTGTGAGTAAGCCAGGTATTCCCCAGGCTGTTTGGATCTGGTATCACAGATCGCTGGAGCCTTGACCTACAGTCCAGGGAAGTCAATGCAAATATTCCCACCAGGCTTCAGCGCAGGTCCTAAATTTTTCACACACGGGAGCCAGATGCTAGAAAACCATGGTAAAAAGCAAGTCAGAAATAAACTGTTGCTTAATTCTGTTTAGCCGGTCTCCCATTACTGACATCTCCTAGCACAGATGGTGAAGGAGCACACCTGATTCCGAAGGTGGTTTTTCCGCCCCCATTCTGTCACTTGCCCCAGGGCTGTGCAAGAGGAGCTGATGCGAAGAGCTGCCATGTAAAACGCAGTTCCCTTCCTGCATGTTGCAGAAAGGCTGCAGCAAGGCTGGTTTCATACAGGCAGGCAAGGACGTGATATTTTCAGACCTTCATTTATCTGCTTTTGGGACCCCTAAGGCTCTCAAATGCTCTGTCTCACATAAGCAGTGTACATGTCCAATCCTGTAATACCAGTTTGCTTTTCAAAGTTCCAGGTGCAATTACTTTTTATGCAATGCTCCAATACAAAATATCATTATTTTTAGTAAGATATTTGTTCTACTTTTCCTTACTTTCTAATCCCATCTTCAAATTCAACAACAGAGGCTCAGGAATGTAAAACAGATCCTTTGGGAACTGTATAAATTTGGGGAAAATAGCGCTGTTCTGAAACTTTATTTAAAGTGGTTAAAACTGGTCATCCCACCAATAGTTTAATCTGATTTAGCAGTTAAAAATATAGCACATACATAGTAACATTTTAAATTGATGCTGGAACTGGATAAAAGGGACATAATAATCAAGACAAAAGCTGCAATTATTAAAACTGAAACAATTGCAAGTATTAATTTTCCTTTTCAACTTCCACAAGGTTGTTTTCCATTACATATTTAAGTGGCAAGATGCTAGCAGCACAATCACTTTTATTTCTTGCTCCCACTCACAATCACCGTTTGCAAGGTTTTAGTTACTGACACTGGTTGGGCAGTTTGAAATCCAGAACAAAATAGCTACCGACAAAGAGCCTTTTACAACATAGTAAAGACAAGTAGCATTATGGAAAATATGCAAGGAGTAATTCTAATAGTTATAATTTTGCACTTTGTTCTTCTCTCATTTTCATCACCCTGCCAGAAGCTTAACTGCATCTTCCGCTTAGCCCAAGAACGGCTTTTAGCCTTGAATTGAAATCGTACCCATTCAGCGGAAAAAATAAGCTTTTCCTTTTTGATCACCCTAAGCCTACTTTGCAGAGCAGCGATACCTGACAATGCTTTTCTATTTTATCAGGTGGGAACTTGCAGAGAACACTTTGCAACCAGCAAATTAACAGTGATGAAGACTTATATTTTGAGAATATGGTATATGCTTGTGCCGGTAATATGGCTGAATACAGCTGAGGATTTCCAGTGGACAAAGAATAATCCAGGCTCTTTCTATTATGGCACTTTTCCAGCTGGTACTTTTGAACTACAGTTGGTTGTGGTTTTTCTAATGCTCTAGATCCACTTGTCTGTTTGCACAAGAAAGCTACCAAAAGGTTTTCCTTGTCCTTCCAAGGGAAATGGCAGAAACAACAACTCAGGCTCCTGCAGAATTCATATTTAATATCATCTTCTGCACCTTGCCCTGGAAACATAAGGATTCACATAACCCTGTGCTTCATATAGTCACTTAAAACCGTAAATTTAGAGTAAATGCTAATAAATGAATATTTCATATCCAGATCTCCCTTTCCTGTCTGATGAAGATGCACAGTGTAACAAATCACACCTGAGAACTCTTCTCCTTTTTCATAAATTATCTACAGCTGTTTACGGTTGGACTCGATGATCTTAAAGGTCTTTTCCAACCAAAGCGATTCTATGATTCTATGATTCTAATGAAGAATTATGAACTAAAAATATCCTTTGTTATGCAGCTAACTTAAGAGATGAACATGAGTGAAATAATTGCGTTGGGTTTGTTTCAAGCTGTTTAGGATTATCTAGTCCACTCTTCAGTACTGCTTTATGAAACCTTGCCCTTTCTTCAACATATATTTATACACACACATTTCATTTAGCCAGAATCAAAACTAAAAAGATACAGGCACTGGTTTGTTTTCATGCTCAAGTTTTTAAGTGGCTTATGAAATGGATTAATCATGTCCTTTTGTATAATACTAGGAAAATAACCCTGAATCTTCCTATATATTTTACATAACAACAGCTAGACTTGCAATCACTAAAAAACCATAAAAACTAGCAGGCAGAAATGATGGTGGGAACCTAATTTTTTCTTACCATAAGGTATTTTTGCCATGCTATCAATGCACTACCTCACCACTGTAAAGTAACACGGTTTAATATATGAACTAGATTCCTTTTTCAGTGCATCAGAAAAGGATCCCTTTAGTCTATACCACGTTTTCAGACAGTCCTTTTTTATGCACCGATGAAGTTTCACGTGGAAAACATTGGCCTCGCTCAGCAGGCATGCAATCATGCCCAATTCACACCAAGCTATGCAGCTGTGAAGGGGTATCAGTTACTTTCTCATATGACGATTAAGTATAAGACCAGTTTTGCAGGAAAATGTTTAAATCATAACCCACTTCTTTTTACCTCTAGGTTTTTTATGGGGTGTTGGAAGTTCTGCGTACCAGACTGAAGGGGCCTGGGACAAGGATGGGAAAGGACCAAGTATCTGGGATGCTTTTACTCATGAGAAAGGGAAAGTGTTCAGAAATGAAACAGGAGATTCAGCATGTGATGGCTACTACAAAGTTAAGGTATCGTTAAAGAGGAACTATCCCTCTAGAAACATTCTGGAGCCATTTCACCACACCGATTTCCCATTCTGAAATAACAGCAAAGATGAAATGCTTTGGTTGCTCTACAGCCACATTCAACTTAGGAAGCCAAAGGCTGATATTTTCAATTCGTTCAGTAAAATCTTATTTCCTGATAATCTCATAGAATCAGTGATACCACAATATTCCCCAAATATGTCTGGTTTTCAGGATTTTTGTGTCCACAGAAATACTCCAAATTTTGTGGGAAGTCAAAATGCTTAGTTACAACAACAAAGAACGCATTTGAGGTTTGAATAAAGTTAACATATTTTTTTGTGTTTGAGCAGCTTTAAAGGTTTTCTCTGTGTATTTAAGAACAATAAAACTATCAGATGTTTTAAAATTCAGTCTGAATGTTTTCCATTTTTTGAATGGATAACAAATAAATAATCAATGCGGCTTTACAAGCAATATGTTTCCAAGCTTAAAACTACCAAAACAATTTTAGAATCACTGTACTTGAGGACAGACAGACACACAGCAAGAGGAAATCAAATGGTTGTGAGAAGCCAGCATTACATGATTGGAATTCCAACTAAATTGATAGAACTTATATTCCACTGAGGTTTTTCCACATATATGAAATCCAAGGGAGAACCAGAGGTCTCAGCAAGAAGAGGAAAGAAACTAATTATGCCTTACTACCAAATATGCGAAAATGCAGGAGAGATTTCATTTGATCTCTCTTAAACAAGTAAAAGCCTGAAGGAGCAGCTTAATAAAAACCCAGAGGGGTTGGAACTCTGAGGCTCACTGGGCTGTTGCATCAGAAGAGACTGATGTGGTGACCACAGAACCTATTTTTAAGACAGGATTCAGGCATAAATGGTAGTATCTCAACATTTACTCACTACGAACTCCAGTATCACACAGTAAATGAAAGCCTGAGTAATCATTGTTTTGTACCTAAGCCAAAATGTTTGAGGTCAAGATTTACAGGCTCACATTATTTTTTAGAGCACACACATTACAAATTCTGACATAAATATTGTGTTGCAGAATACCTCAACTCATTTTTCCATCCTCTATTTGACGGTGAATCCATTCAGTTTCCACAGTTGTTAATGCAACACATTAAAAGACTTTTTTGCAGTCAAAAAAAATGGTGAAAAAGGAAGTACACAAGTAGAAAGAGCCATCATCTCAAAGCAAATGCAGACAAGAACTGATGGAATCCTCTTTTGTTCAACTCCATAGATTTTCTGTATTCAGTCCTATTTAACACAGACGAGTAACTGCAGAGATATGTTAACTACTTGAGATATGTTAAATGGATTTTCTTTTCACAGGATGACATTCAGTTACTGAAGGAGCTGAAAGTTAACCACTACCTGTTCTCCATCTCATGGCCTCGGATTATGCCCACTGGCATCAAAAGTAAGCGTAACAATTTCACCAAGTTCTTACCAGTATTAGCAGGCAAGTAATATTACTCCTGGAGTATACCATAGTTGTTTAACATTACCATTAAAGAGATTTCTCTTTCTTTGTCTGCAGAACGGAGTTTAACCATTACCCATCCATTACAGCACGCCCATCGCTGTAATGTAAAATTCCTTGGTTAAAGTTTTTAGATTTCTATTCTTCCAGTTATTTGAAAAACAGTCCAGGTAATTTCTTGTCTGTGCATTTCATCAGCAGAGCAATTGAATGAGAAAGGAATACAGTTCTACAACGATACAATTAATAGTCTTCTGGAAAACAATATTATTCCTATTGTGAGCCTCTACCACTGGGATCTTCCACAGGTTAGACAATACTTAAATTAGTGAAAAACCTAATATAAGTGCTTCTGATAGAAAATTTATTTCGAAGTTTGAGGACTATGGGTACTTTAGAAAAATGTTTAAAGATGCCTGCATGCTTTTAAGTGTGCTTATAAGTATTCTCCATTCTTATTTGTGAAGGTTCTCCAAGAAAAGTATGGTGGCTGGCAAAATATAAGCATGATAAATTATTTCAATGATTATGCAAATCTGTGTTTTGAGAAGTTTGGTGATCGTGTGAAACACTGGATTACTTTTAGTAATCCTTGGGTAAGTTATCAACGCTTTCCTTCCAATCACTCCCATTCCACAGTTTTGGGAACAGAACTGTGTAAGTGACACCACAGGGAAGTAGGTTAAAAATTGGAGAGGAAGAGGCAGAGACTTACGCCGTTAATCTTTGTGCCCAAAAAATCTCAGTGGTCAGATTCTGCACAAGGGCAGACTTTCAAGCCATGAAACTCCTGTGAAGTTTTGAAAAATCATCAGCTGGGAAGGAGAGGGGCAGAGAAATTAGAAAGGCAGTTGTAACTTGAATGTGTTTCATCAGGTAACAGCAAGCTGGCAAGTCAGTCCCCTAATGCTAGTCACCAACACGTCACTTCCAACGAGCCACAGCATATTATCAACCCAGCAGTGGGGCAGTAGATGGGAGCCAAGGGGAGGGGGAGAAAAAAGGGGACTGGAGAGAAGAGACTGAAACACAGATGCAGAAGAGCACAGGATCTAAGCCCATAGGATGGTAGCGAATTTGTTAACTCTGCTGTTCGAAGAGTAATTAACTCTATGTATTTGTAGGCAGTCGCTGAAAAGGGTTATGAAACAGGAGAACATGCACCAGGACTGAAGCTCGGTGGATGCGGAGCATACAAAGCAGCGCACCATATCATTAAAGTAAAACTAAAATCGTGCTTTAAATTATGTGTAAATTAAGAATTTTTAGCAGACTAAGATTTTTTTATTCTGTTCTTTAAACAGAAAAAGAGTTTATGCAATGATGTCATTTCTAACTAGCGCATCAAAATTATCACCTGACTTCCAAACCACCAATGCACGTTCAGGTGTAGCATGAAATGACACTGTTGCAACAACTTAAATTTCTCCTTATAATTTAAGTGCCTCTTTTACAGTATATTTCAAACTGACTGAATATAAAAAATATCCAGGTTACTCTAGAAACAAGAAGTAAAACTCTGACCTATCGAAATGAACTTGAATTTTGCAACTGACTTCAGTAAGGCTGGCTCTCCTAAAAATAAACTTTCACTTGCCTGAATAACTTAAGCAAGGGCATGCAAAGACTGGGGACGCTGGACAGAACACTATAGTGAATGCTGCATATTATCTGCATGGGGACCTCACAGATTTAGGTAAAGAACTTTGCATAAAAGCTTTTTAGACATTATATATGAAATTAAAGCTTCCACAATATACATAAAAATTGTGGTATCTTCAGGCACACCTTAGTGCAAAAACTGCTCTTGATCTTCACTAGCTTTCTCTACCAACTATGGCATAACAGATGAAAATGTGCATGTGCTTTTTGGTTGGGTTTTTGTTTGTTTGTTTGTTTTTAACTTACAGACTCACGCGAAGGTATGGCATTCTTACAATAACACATGGCGTAGTGAACAGCAAGGTAATAAGAATTCATTCTGTAATTATGCTTCTATTGATATTAAGGGCTTAAAGATTATGCATAAACTGCAGAATTGTCACTTTGCCTTTTAAGGTATGGTTGGAATTTCCTTAACTAGTGGCTGGGGTGAACCTGTTGATCCACACAGACAGACAGACAGAGACGCTGCCGAAAGATACATACAGTTTCATTTGGGATGGTTTGCAAATCCAATTTACAGAGGAGACTACCCAGAAATTATGAAGAATTACGTAGGTAAGCCCCAGTAACCAACTGTAACATGAAAAAATTACACCCTTACAGCATATTACAATGGAATAGCCCCTGACCAACACATAGCTTAGTCAGGTATGAGGACACTGGTGAGACGAGGCTAAGCCACAAACGGCCCACGGACACGGCTCCTGAGCAGTTTGCGGGACATACTAGAACTAAAAAGTTGAGCTGCTGTTGAGCTCAACAGTTGCACACCTGAGTGCTCCAAACTGGAGAGGAAGCAACTACCTCACTTCCCAGTTACAGTCCATTTTCAGGGGCCTAACCAAGACAGGGATTTGGCAAATATTTTTCTGGGTTTTCCACCTAGGGACATAGAACCAGCAGTTTTTCCATCAATAAAGCTTCCATTTCTACAAGGTTCCACTATCTTTTTTTTCACAGAATGAAGAAGATAAGCAATGTACCCAGCAGCAAGGCACTTCTGTTCTTGTCATGTTGTATTTCCAAGCATTCTGTTGACATTTATCATGCTTTTTGGGGAAAAAAAAAAACCAAACAAACCCAAAACCAAAAAACCACCACTTTAATTCACTGTCTTCTACATGTATTGTACCCAACTTACTTCTCCAAACCGAAAGGATGAAAGATTATTTCATCTTAAAAAAGAAATCAAACTAAATTGTGCTCTACACTAACACCGAGTTCAGGAAAAACGTATTTATTGTTTGCGAGGTAAAGAAAACAAATTTCTGTGCTCCTCGGAAGTATGTCTCCTGTAATTATTTTGATAGGTAGGAAGAGTACCCAGCAGGGCCTGGGGACATCAAGATTACCAACTTTCTCGGTGCAAGAGAAAACCTATATTAAAGGCACATCGGATTTCCTGGGAATAGGTCATTTTACTACTCGTTATGTTATACAGAAGAGCTTTCCCTTTCTACAAGCATCCAGTTACCACACTGACCGTGATTTGGCTGAACTGGTGGACCCAAAATGGCCAGCTCCAGGACCCAAATGGTTATATTCTGTGCCTTGGGGATTCAGAAGATTACTCAACTTCATTAAGGTGATTACGGAGTAAATCTTTAAAAGCAAGTGAACAAATGTCTGGTTACATGCAGAAGCTGCAGGAGCTGCACTTATATTATTTTAGATTTTTCAACCGTTTCAACCTATATATTTGGGAAGTTTCTTTGCCTAAAAAAAAAACCCAGCCCAAACCCCAAAACCATAATTTCAGTTTAGAAAACTATAGAATTCATTAATTTCAAAATAAAGACCGTAGTTAACTTAAATTCGTAGGTACACATTTTTCTTACTAAAGGTAACTGTAAGTAAATCTAGAAAATTGCTTTTAATGCATTTTACTAAGAATCTCGTTCTGTCAAAGTAAGATGATTTTGTTTATATGAACCAGCCTAAACACATCTTTGTTTGCAGACACAGTATGGGAACCCTCTCATTTATGTAACAGAGAATGGAGTTTCTGAAAAGGTACAGTGTACTCAACTGTGTGATGAGTGGCGGATAGAGTATCTGAAAGGATATATTAATGAAATACTGAAAGGTAACTTTAAAAACATCTTTTTAGTGCATGAGCTTTTTGAGTGTTTTTTCACCTTCTGATTATTTTTTACTCCTGTAATTTACATTGTAGAGAAATAAATACTCACAGATCAAAATGGACAGCAAACTAGACTAATAAATTTTCACAAAAATGACAACCAAACTAGCCAAATGTACTGATGCTAATACAATAACCTACATGAGATTTAATACTGTAATAGATCATCAGTTTCCACTTTTAGAAAGAAGAAATTACACCTAATTACCATTCTTGTAGAGCTTTAGTATCTCTAAGCTAAAGATAACATTTGCAAAGAATTTAAATCACTTTATACTTTGCCACTTTTCTGTCCTCCTCCCCACTCCGCATTTCTTTCTGGTATAAAACAAAACACCAACAGAACCATATTTTAAGGACAACAAATCCAGGCAACAAGTTTAACAGAATAACTTGTATTCTGTTTACAGCTCTAAACGATGGTGTTAATGTCAAAGGTTATACTGCCTGGTCACTGCTGGATAAATTTGAATGGAACAAAGGCTTCTCGGAAAGATTTGGATTTTATCACACTGATTTTAAAAACAAGAACAAACCACGATACCCGAAGGCATCCGTTGACTATTATAAAAAGATTATCCATGCAAATGGATTCCCACATCCAAGAGAGGTGATGTCAATTGCTAATTTCATTCTTTTTTCTTTTCCTTTTTTCTTCAACATATGGGCAAATACCACACTGAATTTCATGAAACAACTTGCATGAATACAGTACATGAAATGTGACGTTTTCGTTCTGTAAATGAGGGTTGTGTTAAATACACAAGCCTCCAGAGAAAGTGGAAACGACCTCAATTTCAGCTTCTAAAGCATTTCACAAACTCCAGTTGAACTTACTGATGTGAACAAAAATTCTAAATCATAAGTTACCAGTGCTCTTTCAGATTTCTAGGCATAAAATTACACATTCATACTACCTTATTGGAAAATAATATAGAATATATTATGTGCTTTTTAAAATTTTATTAAACAATTAACTAGAAGAAATATGTTGCAATAAAAATCACAAAGATCCAAAGAAACTTTCAGAAAGTCATATGTTGACAGAATAAAATAGTTGCATGTCAGTTGTAGTGGATAAATGTTCAAGGACAAAGAAGCTGCATATTACAGTCTAATAGAACCGCTGCATGTCAACCTTCTCAGGTGGAAAATTGGTATCAGAAGGCCATGGACACTTGCTCTGCCACACACCAACTCCTTGCTACAGGTAATTATGCATCTTGTTTTATAAAAGCATATTATGTAACTTTCAGAGTTTAATTTTTGCTGTGAATACTACTATTAGCAGGTCCTAAAAGGAATTTTCTCCCTGAAAGCACAACAGCTTTCAAATACAACAAGCTGCTAAAGAAAAACGTCTTTATTTTCTCTCTCCAACTAAAAACACCGTAGCTAAATGGATCAACTTTGGACATTAATGGAATACACAAACTACAAGAGTTACTACTTAAAATTAAGGCTAGGGATGACAGTATTATCCTTAAAATAATAAAAGTGCTAAATGCTCTTTCAAACATAAAACAAAACCAGAGAAATCAAGACAACCGTGCAGACAGAAAATCTCTGAAATGTTTGAAAACTATTTAAAAAATGGGCTAAGTACTAGCCTAAGGTAGTGTTAAGCCACATTTCTGCTCTTTCATACTCCTGGTAACAAAGCTAACAACAGCATAAGCTACAGCATCTGCTCAAGAATACATAAAAAGACTTTGCCTGCTATTTCCACGGTGCCAGGGTAATCCATCTCACTTAAGACCTTCCCAATGTAACTCAGGACCTTTCATAATTCCTGAACTATGAGAATAGTCTTCCAGAGTGGATTTCTGAAACTTTTAAGAAAGATGAAGTAAGTATTATAAAGTCTAATAAGAAAGGATAAGAGAAATTCTACATGGTAGAAAATGTCAAAGCAGTCATCCTAAGTTTACCCTATTTAGAACGTATCACTCAGCAGTTGAGGCTATGTGAATTAACTGGGTTTACTGAATTCTTTAAGGCTTATCTCCAGAGCAAAATTCTACAAAATAAAACCCACTTCATTTTTCAAAGAGCTGCAAAACAATCATAAAAAGAGTAAAGCCCTTCCCAAGGATTCCTCTTCGACAATTTTCTTTTCTACACCTCCCTTGAGGGGGAGAGGTGCAAATGAAAATCAAAGGAACAGTAGAATGCTGCTAACATAGCGAAGCTAATTCATAGGCAGCACAATTTTTGCAGCCCTTTGAGCACTGAAATAACTTCAAAAATTTACCTTAGGGGAAAAAAAAAAAAAAAAAAAGAGGGAAAACTGTCATGGATATACTCCAGCTCTTGCAGACTTAGAAAAATTTTGTTTGTTTGTTGTTTGCTGTTTATGCCAATGTCAACATTTAACAAAATAATTTTAGCCATAAAACATTAATCTATGTTAATCCTAAATTAACAATTAGTACGCTCCAGAAGATTAAATTTCTTACATATTACTCATTTCTCAAATTTTAGATTCCCTGATTACTCACATGGAAACAGTGACAGAGATTGTTCTTCCTTCAGTTTTCACACTCTGCATACTCATCAGTATTGTCCTACTAATATTCTACCTTCGAAATCACAGATAAAATTGCATGCTTACACACATCTTCATTTTGCATAATAAAATGCAACTGGTTTATATTGGTTAAAGTTTACCACCAATGCCGCTTTTCATATCAGTGTAAAGATAAAGAAATATACCTATGCACCTAGCGCTTCTACAGTTTCTTCTATTCAATTTCCAAAACATTTTTTTTAATCAAAACCCAAAGTATATTTTCTTTCTGCATTACTTTCTACTAATTTTAAGTAGCAGATTTTATATTTCTTATTATTTTGGAATCTACTATACATTTTGTTCACAACAAAAAAGTTAGCTAAGATTAAAGTGATTCAAATCTTGCCAGTACAAATTTCAAGTGATTAAAAGCTATTTGCAAATTCTGATTTCAGTCTGTTCATCAACAGACTTCTAATTAGCATGGAACTGCTATTTGAAGAGAGACAGACACATTATTTTAAAATGGAAAAGGATTTAACTATTCCAAGAGCAGTGCTTAAACATTAACTTATTTTTCATGTTGAAAAATTAGGATAATATATGCCATACTATTCAGGTGTGGAGAAGAATTATTTGAAGTGATTAATCAAAGACGACAACTGCTGAGTCAGATTTAAACCAAGGACTCTGTAGTATTGTTTACAGGGAACTAAGTTTACCTCATATGACTTTATAAAACATTACACACAGAAATGTGCATTTTAAGTAATCCAAGCACTTCCAGAATGTAATATTCCCCCTCAAATTGTCTTCTTAAGTACATGATTATAAAATATTTGCTCCAGAATATGGCCACCTGGCTATATTTGTTTTTCTGTTGTGCTTGAGATTATTCCTCTAAAGCAAAGCAACAAACGAGTTTTCTCTTTAGCTTGCTCTACAGTTGCAACACTGCCTGTGCATACACTGACTGCAGAGTAGCAGTACATAAATCCAAAGCACAGCCTTGTTCTTAGCTCCTCTTCAGAGGCTTTAACTATTAAACTGAGAGTTACTAAGCTGTAACATTAGGAAAGGGATAAGAAATAAGATTTACTGAGGAGAAACCAGAAATGGTAGAAATTTAGAGTTTTTAAAAAGCATGAATATTGGGATTTTCCTTATTCTTATTTATCAATAGTTAATAGTTTCTTTTATGCACAACATTTCTGTCTCAATGCAAAACATTTCTGTCTCAAATTAGTTTACCAGCATATACTACACTATGCAATTTTTTTAAAGTTGCACTACCAAAAGGTTACATACGCTATCTAATCAACATAAGAACATATGCAACTGTGAGGAATTAATGCCAACATATTAAATTATTATGGCCAGCCAATTATACTGAACATTTTTTCAGAAAATTATGCAAAAGTATACAAGACAACACTTAAAATAATTCACTTTGCATTGAGGGGAAAAAAAAAGAATTTGAAGAGGAGAGAGAAGTATATCAAAGAATACTCAAAATATAAATACAGGGACAAAGAAAATCAAACTGGCAGAAGTTCACAATGCCCTGGACGAACAGCTTTCCAAATATATCTGGATGATGAAACGTCACTCGACACCAGGAGAACATGACAATATTGCTTCTTTTGTTGGGTTAAGAATTCACGCTTTGAACAGTGTCTGATTGCATTCTTAATAAATAAAATTCAAAACCCCAAAGTGCAGAACTTTATTGAATGTTTGCAAATATACGAACAAAACTATTTTCTATATTTTCAAAATAATTATACTGTACACTTATAATTGCACATTTATAAACAGACTAGATGCGGACAGACGAATTATGGCTGTGTATGTCACCCTTCAAGTATATTAAAGCAAGTAACTCAGTAAGATGTACTGCTCTTCAAAGCACAGAGTGTTTCTAAATACACTGTTGGGACACAGATAATACTGAACTTTCCTCTTTACTGTACCTTTCCAGTGCCTGCCTGTAGAGTAACATGCATTTATGTGAAATGCACCTGACTGCACTTAGCCATTGTAATAAAGTACATTCTTTCTTCACCGCTTCCATTAACTGTGGAATCGGAAAAGAGACCTGCATAGACACAAAAAAAGAAGTGATTAGACACTATTCTTATAAATTGTAGAGATTAGTTCCTGTAGCAGCTTCAAGAACTGGATTCAAAACTTCCGTTTTACTGAAAGGAGCACTTTATGACAAAACCTGAGAATGACAGGAAAGCTTTGCCAAAGCATTACCCAATATCAAACCTCACCCCAAAAAGGCAAATTATTTCTATACCAGTCTATATGCCTAATTCTTCCCCATTCTCATGCTTTTTCACTTGTTCTACACCTGATTGCAGCCAGGCAGGTCTTCCTTCCTTAGTACCTGCTTGCTTCTCGGGCTGGAGGCCAGCCTTCAGTAAAAGATAAATTTCTCTTCAAACCCATTCTCAGATATACTGGCAAAGATTTTAGAAATAAAATATAAATACTGTGTAGAGTATTTAACAATCATACCACATTTGGAACTATTCTGTCATTTTAACTCTAAAAACATAATTCAGCAAATGTGAGAGGGCAGAAAGTCACCACTTTCTGAAAATCTTTTATATTCTATAAATACCATCTCACCCTTTTATTAAAAGACAAAACAGTTTTGCTTTTGCTGAAGATGTAAGTAAGAAAAAGTTCAGATCCACTGAATCCAGTATAAAAACTGAATTTGAAATGTGTACTTTCATTATTTCACGTCACCACAAGCACTCTTTACCTGTATTGTTTGATGTCATATGTTCAACTGGAGGATTGGTACTAACTTGCCACGTTGTTTTAACCTCCTTTTGTCCATGCCCACTGCTTACATCCACTTTCCATATTTCTGGGTGAGCACTGATAGAATAATCATGAAATGTCAAAACTCAGTCAGGTGTTCAGTCACATCTGAATTTGAATGCTGCGAAGAGTAAAGTTTCTCTTACTTTTGATAGAACTTCTTGACAAGTGCTGGTCTGATTGGCAGTTGAAACGCATGCTTCTCATTTAGAGGGTTTTCCTTATAATACTTCATGCAAATTCTACAATAAGAATCAGCTAGTTACTATCTTTCTTTGGAGAAATGCTTGTGCAACACTGCATAAACCTCGTGCAAAAATAACTATACTCTCAGATTTTATGGTTTCATTTGTTTTTCAATTTTAGTCACAGAGCAAAATTTAACAGGAAGATCCAACTGCTACTTCTGCAGTCTCAAAATCCTCAACGTTAAGGAGAGTTGCTTTTTTTTTTTTGAAGAGGGTTTCATTACAACTGTCAAAGACAATCTATTTGTTATTGTTATTTAAAGAGGAGGAAGTAAAGATGAAATAATTACTGTGTCAAAGGGAAGAGGTTCTCATGTTTAAACTGAAGTAAGACTGCACAGCTGACCATTATTTCCAGCATGTGGTGAAGCTTTTGAACACGATGAACTTGCTCTTGTAGATCTACTGATGTGGAAATGAAGTAATCCTGCAACAGCAAACCGCTTCTGCTCTTAACTGGACACTCAATTTCTACAGACACACAAGACATCCTCAGTATACTAAAATAATTTTCCTGCTTCTTTTGAGAAGCCAAAATTATTAAGAATGGCTCAGCAGAGTCAGAACAAAGTTCCATGCTATCAAAATATGAACAAAGGTTCACTGTCCTGCCTGACAATGACCCGTATCAGGTACCTAGGGAATAACATATAAGGAAACAACATGATGACATTTCTGCAGTATATTGTCCCATCCTTACGATTTGCGATTCACTTTCTCAGCTTAGAGGAATTATATCATTTGCATCCCACCATCAATCAAGTGTGCTCTACTTTATACTGCTTTCAGAGTTAAAAAAATAACAAACAAAAAAACATAAGCATCTCACCAAGTAGGTTAACGTTGCAAGTTCCTGGCCTGTAAATTGAACAAGGGGGCGGAAAAAAAAAAAATAATTAAAATTTACTAGAAAGTGTCAGATGAAAGAAGCAACATTCAGGTAATCAAACAGGGAATTCTACCATAGAAAAGTGCAAAGATGCTAGGACTGCAATGTTATTTATTGACACAATTAATCATTCAAACCAAGAAAAACCCTGTAAAGTGGCATGGTAGAGGCATTATCTTATTTACCACCAAGGCTGCACAATGAAGAAACCTACTACATACTTTGAGACAACCAACCTCCTTGGGACAGATAGGTCTACAAATAGTGAAAATAAAACAGTAAATAAAACAAAGAATAAAAACAAGATGACAAAGCAAAAAGAAATCAAGAAATGAAGAGATTCAGAAAAAAACCCCGAAGTTATAGTACTGAAAATGAAGCTACAATGTTTTCAAGAAAAAGTAGTACTTTACAAAAATCTTTCCACTTTTGTTTCCACTATAATATATATACACGAGTAATCAAAAATATCTTTCTAAACACTACTGACTGTACAAACACAGCCATTATGTATAAATACCCTTGCCTGGTTTCCTTTTACCCCATATAGACCATAAAGGAAAGGACAGAAAGAGCATGACAGTCTTATTTTTTCACCTACAGCAAACACATAAGAAAACAAAACAGTCCACAATTATAAAAATCAGGGTTTTTTTTACTGGAAGTTCAACCTAAAGGTTTTTTCACATTGAAAAAGAAGCACACTGCTATGCAAGCAATAGTTATTTTGAATGAAATTCATTCTTAAAATTTTGAAATCATATAAAAATGAAAAGTACAGTTACTAAGGAGGCTGGAAACAGCACTTCAGCAGATGGGAGCAGAAGTGAGATTGAGGTCATCAAAAAGGTCATTATTTCGTGCACGGACTAGTTTTGATCTTGAATTTCTAATCATGGTAATCAGGCTTACCTATGAAAAAACTGACATAATCCTTCTTCATCTTATCCAAACCAATCTCCAAGAGCATTTGAATTGGAGCAATGCCACTGAGGGAAACGACCTCTATCTTTCCATGATAAGACTGTTGAATCAATTTACTTAGCAAACTGCTACTCCCTTGATGTATCTAAAAATTAGAAAAGTTTCCTCGTGACATAACTGCATACAAAACATCATAAACATTGTTTAGAAGTACAATACCACGGAAACAGAGGTGAACTGTGACATCTGGAAATTATTTAAAAATAATACAACATAGAAATGAGGAGCAGGTAAGTGACAAGAACTCTATTCTAATTCAAACAACTCAAAATTTAAAATGTATTGTGAAATACAAATACATACCCATGGCTGTATCTCACCACGTTCCAAGGATTTTATGATCAGTGTGAAACACTCTACCAACTCCTGATAGGAACTGACACCTTAAGAAAAAAAGATGCAATATTTTATTTCTCAGACCAGGCTCACTCTCTAGCTGTTAAGTCAGTAACATTAGGCCAACGCTTACTTGCAGGAACAAAACCCTTCACTTAAAGACTGATAGCTGAAATGACAGATTGCACTGCTTTTCCCGTAATTTGTCATCTCATGACTTTAAAAAGGGTTACTCTAAAGAAACAACGATCAAGAGAGACCACTGAACTGCACGTGACTGTTAGAGAACACCAGAAGCAGGTTGTCACACGACACATTTTGGCTACATTCTGTCTAGATGCATTGCAGCTCAACACATTTTATAAATTTAACTGAACAGCATCTATCTAGAATATGAACTATTAGTGTCTATTAATCCACCTAACTGCTTCCTGAGCAAGACACAAGCCTCCATGCATTGTGTGGGTGACGCTGCCCTTGAGCAGACCACACTGCAGTCATCACAGTACATTTTAGCTCTCTAGTTCTGATTCAAACAACAGTGGTTGCACTGACAGGAATGAAAGGGATTTAGAAGTTGGATACTCCATCCCTCAAACAGAAAGGAGTTGTTATAATCTCTGGAACACCTTAACAAGTTCATTAGTAATCTGAAAAAATAGTAATAAATTAATAAAACTGCATTTTACTGAAGAGCTGTGAATGGCATTACAAGAATGATACAGTTTGTTGCACCGTGTCAACTTAAAAATTGTCCTTCAGATGTAGAAAGACAAAAATTTTATAGATAAAGTTTTCAGTTTTAGAGCAGTGAGTACTACTGATTGTTTAGTACCTTTAACAATCAAATAAAATGAAATACAGTATGTCCTGCTAGATGTTGGTCTATCTTCACATGTTGTAAGAAAGTATATCATCTTACATACCTAAAATTAGCTCTTTTTCAAAAAGGCTGATCAGTCCTGAAAACTCAGAGAAATTTATATTCATTTCACTAAGACAGACAGACAGTATAGTAGATATGGAGAACAGAAGAACTAGAGGAAAACAGATGGGGTAAAATACCACAATACACTTACTTCTCATTTTGCACCACAGTTGTTCAGCAAAA